TGTGGGGTGGAGCCCTGTGTGTCAGAGGCTCCTGGATTATGTCGTTTATTTAGATTTTTATGCAGTTAAGTGTGGGACCCGGTTGGGAATCTGCTTTATTAATCCCAAATCGAGTTCCACGTCACCCACCCCGTTTGGGCTCTTCGCCGATGACTTTATTATTTTTGGGAAAGCTAGGAAAGATGATGCAAGGACAATTATGGAGATCCTTGAGATGTATGCGAAGGCGTCGGGGCAAGTGATCAATTTTGCTAAGTCAAAAATTACTTTCAGTCCAAACACTAGGGAAGAATCGAAAGATGAGGTTAAGGGGTGTTTGCAGCTTGATGAGAATAGTCTTTCTTATGATAAGTACCTCGGGTTGCCCTCTTTTGTCGGTAGGAACAAACGGGCTATTTTTAATGCAGTCAAAGATAGTGTTTTTAAGAAGCTCAAGCTTTGGAGAGGAAGGCTATTCTCTATGGCAGGAAGGGAAATCTTGATTAAAGCAGTGGCCCAAGCTACTACCACGTATACCTTGGGTGTATTTCGGATCCCTCAAACTCTTTGTCAGGAGATTCAAGCTATGATTTCACGGTTCTGGTGGGGCGGCAACGACACTGAGAAGAAGATTCATTGGGCAAAGTGGGAGCTATTATGTCGTCCTAAGAGAGATAGGGGTATGGGCTTTCGTGATGTGGGAGCGTTTAATCAAGCACTTCTGGCGAAGCAGGGTTGGCGAATCCTTTCAAAACCTTCCTCCTTGGTGGCCATTATTTTTAAGGCTAAGTATTTTCCAAAGGGTGAGTTTCTTGATGCTTATATTGGACACAACCCCTCATATACTTGGCGTAGTATATTATGGGGACGAGAACTGTTGAAGAGTGGCATCCGTAGACGTGTTGGTTCTGGAAAATCCATTCAATGTTTTAGAGACCCTTGGATCCCTAGACCTCATTCATTCCGTCCAATTACGACAATGACTGAAGAAACTGAAGATTGGTTGGTGGAAGATCTTATTATTAATAGGCAATGGAACCGGGAGCTAATTCATCATATTTTTCTCCCTATTGATTAAGAAATTATTCTCAACATACCTTTGAGTTGTGGCTCTAGTGAAGATATCTGGGTGTGGCATTATGATTCTAAGGGGCTCTATTCTGTGTTCTGGAAAATCCATTCAATGTTTTAGGGACCCTTGGATCCCTAGACCTCATTCATTCCGTCCAATTACGACAGTGACTGAAGAAACTGAAGATTGGTTGGTGGAAGATCTTATTATTAATAGGCAATGGAACCGGGAGCTAATTCATCATATTTTTCTCCCTATTGATTAAGAAATTATTCTCAACATACCTTTGAGTTGTGGCTCTAGTGAAGATATCTGGGTGTGGCATTATGATTCTAAGGGGCTCTATTCTGTTCGTGCCGGCTACAAGCTGGCCATGGGTCTAAGAAATTCGCCTAGTAGTTCTGGAGGGAGAGGGGATAGTGTGTGGTGGAGGAAACTGTGGGATCTTCATATCCCGAATAAAATCAAGAATTTCATGTGGAGGGCAGCTTCCGGTTTTTTACCAACCTTTGCCAATTTAGCAAGGAGGGAGATTAATTGTGCAACGAGATGTCAGCGCTGTGGTGAGGAGGAGGAGTCTACTTGGCATGCTCTATGGATGTGTCCTGCTGTTATTCAGGTGTGGGAAGTGAGTGCCCTTTGGCACAAGTTAGAGCCTCTCAACACTGGAGGTTTTGAAGCTCTATGCGTTATGTTTAGCAAAGAAGCAACTGGAGAGGATCTTGAAATTTTCTGTGTACTGGCGTGGGCGATTTGGGCGGCTCGGAATCAATTTGTACATCACCGAGTATATCGGGAGCCGATGGAGATCCTAGGTACAACTGGGCGGACAATTGCTGATTTTCAGAGTTGTTGGGATCCGGCGGCCAAACATCGGACTACGGTGCCTGTTAGTGAAGTACGCTGGAAACCTCCGGC